AAGTAAAATTTTGGCTTATCTAAGCAGCTTTCCCATTGTTCAGTTCTATTAAAAATGTACAGTCTCAGGTGAATAACAGGTAGCCCTTCAAACATCACAGGACTATAAAAAGAGTTAATTCTTAACACATATACATACACGAATTATGCAATGTCTTTTTTTTCTTTTCTTAAAAGGTGCTTAGAGTTAGTTTTTCCACACAGAGTGGTGACTATGCCAGCCAGTAATACAAACATTAGTATTTGCTCTAACAGGAAAAAAAAAAAGATAAATGTCTACAATACCTTCTAGTGGATGTGAAAATATCACGTGTCATGATGGATTTCATAAAAAATTTATTTCTGGATGGCCCAAAATATTTGCTCTATTGTAAAGCACGATGCTTTTTCCAAAGCAGATACATCTATTCCGCAATAATACATCTGCTGAAACCAGCATGGGAGCCCCAATTAAATGTTTAGTTTCATGCAGTAGAAGCTGTTCCACTTTAAAAACAAAAAACGAAATCCAAASAAAAAACCCTAAAAAAATCCACACATGGTTACCTTTAGTCTGAGCATAGAATTTTAGCAGTTTTGCTGGATTCAGTGAAATGACCCATCACCTTCAGTTAAGCAAGTAAAACTTGGCAGGATGGGAGTGAGAGAAAGACAGCTGGCCCTGTTACCACCATAAAAAAAATCGTGCGAGTCTGGGTAATACAATTCTGAAAATATATTCTAGAATTCAGCTGAAGTACTTAACAGTAATTTACCATATTCTGAGCAAGAAAAAGACAGATTTTACTATTTGAGCAGCTTGCACTGCAAGCTTGCAAGGAGGACCAATATCTGCTAGCTCAGGAATTCTGTAGTGAATTAACCATGTGCTGGAATACAGAACATGGGGGGTCCTCGGTAACATTATCAGCCCAGAGCCTTTGCATATCCAACTTCAGCAAGGTAAAGGCATTCCAAAGATAGWTCTACTCCGTGGCACGCTGTGTGCTGCAGTCAAGTGACACGATATATTACTTCAACAGGGAATACACTGATATCCCTTCTTCCATTCTTCCAGTGCAAGGGTTTGGATCAGGCTGACAAAAGATGGCTTAAATTGTCATTCCATTCAGAAAGATGGGCTCAAACTCCTGAGAGCCCTGGCTGAGGGACCCTCCAGGAGATCTCAAATCTTGTATTTGTAGTAGCTGAAGTATGCATAACACGTAGAGCTAACAGACCATCAGAAAAACAATTTAACTTGGAAATTTATAAAAATGTATGATAATACTTGGAGGGAAAAGCCCCCAGACAAGCTTCATGCTGTGGATTTTTACTGACTTCCACCCTTTGGCTAGTGCTACAAATTAAGGAGAAATAGCAGAGCTCAAGGGGAAAACAAAACACCAATCTTTGAACCTCCTAGCAAAGTGGGTTTGAGCTACAAATGCAGGGAGAGGCAGTTTTAGCAGTTAGTGCTGATCAGCTGCAGAGAAGCAAGCTTCAAACAAAATTTAGTCAAATGTAAGGTTGTATTTCCAAATACAACATTGTCACTGCACTGAAATTGCAGTCTTAGGCCGAGGTTTTTGTTACTGTGTTTTCACTTGTGAAGAGCTGATGACTCTACCCGCAGCAGTTGTGGAGGCTTGCTCCAAGCTTTCCCACRCAGATTTACACTCCTACAGTGTCTGGGGATTCTTTTTCCTCCCCCACTACTTAGTTTTCTACTTAGAGGCAAATATATTTCATCATCAACCCACCTTAACAGTGTCAAAAGGGTGTCCTACCAGCACACCAGCAGCACCTGAAACAAAACAAATGCCGTGGTTATTACTCTGAATTTTCTCCCTGAGTCTGGGTCTACAGTTGCCCAGGCAGGACCAGCTGCCTGAGGTGTGAGTGAGMAACAAGGATGGGGAACCAGGTAAAGAGCATCCCCCCAAGTCAGGAGATAAGAGATGTGCAATTGAGTCCTTCAGGCCAGCACCAGGCGTCTTTGTGCTTCTCATCAAAGCTCTGAGCCCCAGGCAGAGGCTGAGGTGTGTGACCACAGAGTGTGCCACACCATATGGAATGTGCAGCCGTGACTCCTGGCCCCAGCCCGAGGCAAGTCCAGTGGGCAGAAAATGCAGATTTCCTCTAAAGCACAGTATTGTATGTACACATCACTCTGTGCAGGCACAGAAAACATGTAAGCATCTCTAAGGGCAGAAGAACATTCCTGCTCTCTGCCTGAAGCCTTTCCAGATGTGACCTTAGCACCTGCAGAAGGACTGTGCATTAAYGAAAACCTTTGGTGTTCCAGCACCAAAAGACTTTTTAGAAGTCACATGCAGGTCTATTAGTCACACCGGTCTGCACGCAGGCATTTTGCACACCCAGGCTGAAGCAATAAATCCTCTGGCTCTGTATTTCTGTGACCCAGCAATCCTCAATGACYGCTGACAACAGCGAGAACTACAGACCCTCAGTGCACCTCCCCAGGTTTGTGGAAATACAGCTCCCTCCCTGTCCCGGGAAGATGTGGCACAGCACGGTGCCTGCTCCAGGATGGTGCAGTCCAGGTTGTTTAAGGCCAGCACGGCAGCGACACAGCCCAAGATAGAAAAACAGCAATGTGCATCGTGCTCGGCACGGAAAGGCCAGAGGTACAGCTGACCCTGCGGGAACCCTGGCAAGGCGAGGAGCGCTAGGATGAACCCAGTGCCAGAGACAGGCCGGAAAAAAGGGAATTTTAAAAATCATTGCCCCGTTGGCAAGGAAAACAGCAAGCGCAAATATCCGAAAAGACGCGAGAATAATTYTCCTGCACACAATTTAATAACTGCTAAAAATAGCAGGCGGCAGGCCGGCCGCAGATGCGCGGGGAAGCGCAGGACGCGTGTTCGCCTTGTCTCCTCTCCATCTCACAGCTGCCCGGGCTCGCTGTGCTCAACTCGGGGATCCCGCCAGCCCCTCTGTCCCTGCGCTGCCCCGGCCCCATTCCCCATTCCCCATTYCCCATTCCAGCCAAACCCCGGCGCWGCGCCACGGCCGCGGAGRGCTCGGTGCGCACCGCCGGCACACGGGGGCACAGCGGGGCACACGGAACCCCCGAGACCTCCCCGAGACCTCCCCCCCCGCCCGGATCGGCCTCTGCTGCAGCGGGGGCCGCTCTCATCGCCCCCGGCACCATCCTCGGCTCCCAAAATAACAGCGCCGCGCCCAACCCTCCTCTCCAACCTGCCTGCCTTTCTTCCGCATTTTAGAAACATTTCGTTCTTGTCACTTCTCCCCCTCTATCTCAATCTCCTACCTTTCTGTATTTCTCCCCGTACTCCCCTTTTCCTTTTTAAGCTTTCCTTATGCTTGTTGTTTTCCATTATCATTTTTCTCTCACCCCCTTCGCCCTCTTTTTCCTTTCCCCTTTTTTCCCCTTTTTCTGCCCCTTTCCCCCCCGTCCTTTAATGATCATTTCCCCCCTGCAGCCCCCCGACACTCACCGCCGATGCATCCCGCCAGGAAATCCAGAGCCATGCCGGCAGCGTGGGCCCTGCGCGCCGCCGCTCCGCTCTCTGCCGCTGCGCGCCCGCCGCCCGGCCCTTTCTAGCCGGCCGGAGGGGCCGGGCCGCGCCTCGGGGGCGGGGGCCGAGGGACAACACCCCCAAGCCACCCCCGGACACTGGCGGCCGCGCGGGGGCGGCTCCGGGCGAGCCACGGCACCGGGATGCGATTCCCGGGAAYTGGGGGCGCCGAGAGTGGGAGCCCTTCCAGCTCCGACACCCCCCCGCTCCCCCCGCCTTCAACCTGTCACCGCTTTCTCTGCGGCAGCTGCGTAATGAACCAGAAGTAAAGGCTGAAAAAAATTGGGAGGCTGGGGAGGTGGTGTTTGGAGGGTGGAGGAGGCAGAGCATCCCTCCTGTGGAGCATCAATAGTGTTTGTGTTGTTTTGGGTGGGTCGGCGGCGCTGTTCTTGGGTGTTTTGCTGCCTGGGAGAGGCATCCTTGGGGGCTGATGGTTGGAAAGCCTGTGGAGCTGATGTTGTGAGGACTTTGGAGGGGGTGCCTCCTTTAAACAGGGRTGAAGTGCCTGCAAGACCTGCTACGAGGAAAGGCTGAGGGAGTCGGAGCTGTTCGGCCTGSAGAAGAGAAGGCTCTGGAGAGATGACCGTGTTCATGGAAWCACAGAATGGGTTACCTGGAAGGGACCACAGTGCCTCATCTTGTCCAGCCTCGCTGCCTGAGCAGGGTCATCCCAGAACACAGGATTGTGCCCAGATGGTTGTTGAATATCTTCACTGAGGGGAAACTCCACACCCTTTTGGGGAAGTCTGTTCCAGTCTGTGGTTACTGCACAGTGAAGCTCTTCTTCATATTTGGGTAGAACTCCCTGTGCATCAATTTCTGCCYGTTGCTCTTGCTCAGGGCCACTGAGAATAGCCTGGCTCCATCCTTTATCTTCCCTTCAGACACAGATTTTGATTGAGTCCCCTCTCAGTGGTTCATTTTTGAGGCTGAACAGGCCCAGCTCCTTCAGCCTTTCCTCATAAGAGAGATGCTCCAGTCCCTTGATCAGCTTTGTCACCCTTTGCYGGACTCACTCGAGGAGCTCCACATCCCTCCTGTGCTGAGGAGCCCAGAACTGGACACTGCACACCAGGGCTGAGCAGAGGGGCAGCGTCGCCTCCCTCGACTGGCTGACAATGCTCTGGAACAGATTGCCCAGAGAAATTGAGGATGGTCCATCCCTGGAATGCTCAAGGCCAAATTGAACGGCACTGTGAGCAAGCAGGTCTGGCTCACGGTGTCCCTGCCCATGGCAGAGTGGTTGGAACTGGATGGTCTTTGAGGTCCCTTCCAACCCAAACCATTCTGTGATTCTGCAGCCAGACTCCTGCACAAAATGCTGTTTCAGAGAGAGGAGGAAGGGTTGCACCAGCAGATAAGGGCTT